CCTCCTCCCTCGGGAGGCCCCACCCCCACCCCCCAGGCCGGGCTCACCTGCAGGGCGCTGAGGGACAGGCCCCGCGTCTGCAGCGTGGGGATGCGCTCGGCCAGGTAGCGCGACTTCTCAGCCTCCCGCTCCTCCAGCTCCTGATCCCAGCACTCCTTGGCCTTGGCCAGCATCAGGCTCTGGACAGACGGACGGACGGACGGACGGACAGAGCCCGGTGAGCAGGGGGCACAAGGGGGAGGCCCGGACGCTCCGGCTCCCACTGGCATTGGGCCTGAGGGAAGGGGGACCCCAGGCCCGGCCGGCTCTGGCCTCGGCTGGCCCTTTGGGCTCCATGTTCTCATGCTCTGGTCGCTGAGTGTGGGTGAGCGTGTGGGCGCTGGCCGTGCCTCCGCGGGAAGGTGGCCACACACGCTCGCGGCCCCTAAGCTGTCCTTCCCGCCCAGGCCCCTTCTACTCCCTTCCCGCTGTTTTGCCCCCGAAGCTCCAAAGAGAGAGAGACTCGTATCAAAATAAAGCACGTCCCGCCCACCCTGCGTGGCTCAGGGGTTGAGCGTTGACCTAGGAACCAGGAGGTTGGGGTTCGATTCCCGGTCAGGGCACAGGCCCGGGTTGCGGGCTCCATCCCCAGTGTGGGGCGTGCAGGAGGCAGCCGATCAATCATTGATGTTTCTCTCTCTCTGACCCTCTCCCTTCCTCTCTGAAATAAAAAAATATATTTAAAAAATAAAAATAGAAAATAAAGCCAGCCCCTGGGCCCACCCTGGCCCCCCCCCTGCTGGCCGCTGGCCCCTCTCAGCTGCCAGGCCCCCAGTTCCAGTCCTGCCCCCGGGCCCGGCTCACCTTCAGCATGAGCTTGCGGGAGGCGGTGATCTTGGATTTTCTCTGGGGGTGAGAAGCGGGGAGACAGGGTGAGGCGGGGGCTGCAGAATGGAGAATCTAGGCCGGGCCAGGGTCATGGTCAGCCCCTGAATTCTCGCTCGGGGTCCCTTCTCAGCTCCTCGCGGGGATTGGCCCGAATTCTCAGACCCAGAGAGGGCGGCAGGGAGCCCCCCTTCCTGCTCTGGCTCTGCTGTGGCCGGGATCCCGGGAGACACGGGGGTCACATGGCACCTGTGGGCCCCGCCCTCACCTGCTGTGACACCCCCAACCCCACTCAGTCCAGGGTTAACACAGACAAAACAGGATGGCGGCCCGGCCGGCGTGGCTCAGCGGTTGAGCATCGACCTAGGAACCAGGAGGTCACAGTTCGATTCCCGGTCGGGGCACAGGCCCGGGTTGTGGGCTCCATCCCCAGTGTGGGGCGGCCAGGAGGCAGCCAATCTATGATCCTCTCTCATCATGGATGTTTCTCTCTCTCTCTCCCTCTCCTTTCCTCTCTGAAATCAATAAAAATAGTTTTTAAAAAAAGACTGAACCAGCAGAGAGACCCCAAACCTCACTTACCTCGCTGCAGGCACCGGTCACAGGAGGGACCAGGGAGAAGGACCAGGGAGAAGGCGGAAGAGGGAGAGTGGGAACGAGATGTTATTCACTTATTCACGCAGCCACAGGACCAGGGGGGCAGGGGGGCCGGGAGGGGTGGTGACCACAGGGAACCCACAAAAATCCAGGCCTCAGGCCGGGACCCGGTGAGGGTCCCAGCAGAATAGAATATGATCTCAGGCCCTTGGAGCTGCTGAAGGTTTTTGTGGGGCGGTACCCCAGTTGTAGGGGGGCAGGGGGGGACATGGGGTCCTGCTGCGAAAAGCTCCCTTCTCTGGGCTCCAGGTAAATCCCCAAACCTCCGTGCATCTCTGGGCAGCGTTAAGTCGGGGCCTGGCACATGCGAGTCGCGGGATCCGTGCAGACACACGGACTCCGGAACAGGCCGGAAAAGTCAACCGGGGATGTGGGTTCTGCTCCAAGACCCGGAGGATGTCTGGGGACACGGGGGACCCCGGCACCCAGGACCGTTCCTGTTTGAGGATCCAGCTTCAGAGGAGCTGCTTGTGGTGGGGGAACCCCGCTCTAGGGCTGGGTTCTGCCCCAGAGGGACCTGCCCCCCCCCCCCCCCCCCCCGGGGGGCTACTCACACTTCCGGCATGGCTGCGGAGGGGGCGGCAGCACCTGGAGGCAGAGGACACGAGTGAGGGAGGTCACACCTCCTGTCCCCCAGCCCACGGGTTGCGGGGGGCGGGGGACAGACAGCGGGAAGGAAAAACCAGGCAGAGCGGGGTCCCGATGGGTCCAGATGGAACCGCCCGGCCGGCGTGGCTCAGGGCTCCGTGGCTGAGCATCGACCTATGAACCACGAGGTCACGGGTGGATTCCCAGTCGGGGCAGGTGCCCGGGTTGCAGGCTCGATCCCCACACCATGCCCGGGCCGGGGCCCCTCTGGCTCCAGCTCTGCCTCTGCTTTGTGGGGGGCTGGGGGGGTGCAGCCTGGGGGAGCGGGGGGTGACCCCGGAGTCTCAGCTGTCACCCTGGGCACCGAGGGGGAGGTGGGCGCCCATCGGGCCTACGTTCCCGAAATGCTTGGCTGAAATTAGAGCTGTCACCAGCTGTTGGTTCTGAGGGCCCCCCCCCGGCCCCCGAGAGACTGAGAAAGTCCAGAACGAAACACGAGCTGGGAAGGCTCGCCCCGTCCGTGGGTCCAGCATCCCTGCCCCCCCCCC